CGAAACGTTAAAATTTTTAAATTTTTCTTTTCGTTAGAAAAGATGCCAATTTATCAAGGCTGGTATTTAAAAATTTGTACGAATCTATGAACCGCAAACGTACGCAATTTCGCGAATCTGATCTCTCGGTGGTATCTTGAACATGTTTTGTAAACGAAATATATTTTTCTTTTGTTATCGGCAGCACGTCGATCCTGCCTTCGAACGCCGTAGCTATTTCCGAGATGATAAAGTGCGCGTCATAACCGGATAAGTTGTGAAATACTATGGGAATGCAATATGAATCTTTATAATTTAGATTACAATTTGAGTGCGCGGGACCACGGTAACGACCGGTAAGATGGCAATGATCGCGTACCCGCGTGTCGTCCGACGCAAATGATTTCTCGCAAATGTGACAACGCGTCGCGCTACGATGTGCCTCCCACTGCTCTCTCGACAACGTTTCCATGGGAACATTCGCGGATAACAGAATTTTTACTTGATGCGCCAAATCTTCGAGTTGCCGAACGAACCACGCAACGCAATCTTCGTCGCGACGAAATTGATATACTGATAACGCGTCGTCGTACGAGCATCGCACGTAGTATCCGATGCTAAATACCTCGTGCTGCTGGTAGGTGTACGATGCGTCTTCCCTCTCTGCCGGTTCCGTTCGCCGTAGTACGCACTCCAAGTTCGCGATGAATGGAAGTCGTTCCTTATTCGTGTGGTTCTTGAATTCGAGCCACTTGTCGTCCTCGCTCGGCAGTCGGATGGCGTAATCGTTCATCTTTTCGCAGTCCGTTGTATGTGATTGCAATCTTTCAGACAAACTGAAGTAATGTAGACATCTGCAAACGGAAAATATGATTTTTTAATAAACAATTTTATAAGAGAAATAATAAAATTTGTTAAAATACATACCGGTCGCAAAAGTATTTCTTGCATTTCTTCTTGTTTATTTGCGAGCTCACAAGGCGGGACAGATCTTTGATGTACGCAAAGTGCCCCGCGTTGTCGTCACGCGGATCCTGCACGTACAATAGATTTGCGTGTTCTCCATCTTCCTTGATGTCAGCCGTATCGGGAGAATCTCTTTTTCCTTGATACCGTAGACGTTGATTGAGATGTCGTTGAGATGTTCGAACTTCTTAATTTGGTTCAACGTCATCGGAAACGTAATGTCTTGCAAATTTAACACCGTATAATGCGGGTACGACAATTCCCGATTTGTATTCCTTTCAGCCGGATGCAGAGTCGCGATCATCGACCACGCGAAACATGCATTGTCCTTGGATCGTACATTGATCACCGCTCGCTTTAACATAATTTCTCGCGGTAATTCGATGTAACATCCCGCGTGCATTGGATTATATTTGTTCACGTTTACAGTCAAATTTAGAATTCGCGACAACGCCCATCCACTGTCGCGTTCTTGGAATTCTTCGAGCGACGCCAACGTGGGTTCGATAACGTACTGCTCATACCACTCGTCCAAATTTGACACTCGAAAGAGTTCACTATTTTTAGTGTTTATACTTTTGTTCGCGCGTTTATCGCCCGTCACAAACTCGCCGTTAAATGCAGTGTTCACTTTCACACTATCGTGTCTTTGTACAATGTCTCGCACTCGCTCGAGCA